CCGCGGTGGAGCGGGGCGGCGGCGACATCCGGCCCGCAGGCCCGTCGCGGCAGCTGCCAGCCGCTCGCCGGTCCCGCTCTGCAACTCAGCGCTCCACAGGCCACACAGAGCGGGCGCTCCTAGCGCAGGGCTCCACGAGGGCGGCAGACGCTGCGGGAGGGCTGCTTTTCAGGCACGCCGTGCTGTTCCCTGCGAAGAGGACAGGAACACGTAAGAACAAGCCACGGAAAACTAGCAGCACCAGAAACCAAACCATATCTAAAATTAAAGGCTAATAAAGTGCCATTCTTCTCGAATTTTACTCTTACGAGAGCGCTCCTATCTACAGGTAGCAGCGTCTATCTAGAAAAAATAACTTCGCATACTCGAAGTGAACAAAATGTAACCAAAATTAACGACTTTATGGAAAAGGGGTTTCAGCGCATATTTTCCAAAAATCAGGGTTATACAAAGAAAAACAGGTAACATACGTTCTTATGGGCTAACATAGACGACAGTTCAAAAACGGGCAAAAAAACAACAAAAAAACACAACAACAAACTTTCATTCAACTCCAAAATAGATGAAAGATAAGAAACAGTGTTTTTATTTTCTCCAACAGGAGAAAGAAAAAAAATTAGTGGTGCTAAACCAGCAGGTAGTTTCTCGCCCGTACTTTCACGCAAAATTACGCGAAAAGTATTTAGATGTTCGAAAAATTGCACATGACCTTATTTCAAAATCTATCTTTAAGGAACAGACTTTATTAAATGAAAAAAATCTCTGTCATCATAATTGTAGTTGTACGAAGACGCTGAATACAAATTTTGAACATTCGAAAAATTAGATGTTTCAACGAAAATGAGACGTATCCTATTCACTTACACGTCTTCCACACTATCCAACAACAAAATTTAACGAAAAAAGATGAAGACTTTTTGTTTAATTTTGAAAATGCCGCAGGAGACTTTATGTTAAGTACCACCTAAAATAAAAATATCGGGTTCAAACTCAAGGTGCCACGACATCAGCCAAATTGATTTCAGAATATCAATTTTCGAGAAATTCCGCTGAGCACTAGCGTCGTTCACAGAAGTAAGATTCTTTAACTCCATCCACAAGAGTGAAGTAAATAATTTTCTGACATAAATCACAAATTCGCAAATATAATGAATTCCACTAAATTAAGTTTCCCTAGTAAATCGCGATTTACGAGTCTTACAGATTTTCTCTCCTTAAAACCGTGATCTGGAAGATTAAATGCATTGAAACGTGTACTTTCGTGCACGGTGATCACCACGCATGTTGCATAGTGTACACACGGTTCACAGTACAAATTCTAGCACTCTTCACTTTACAAGGTGCGTATTTCGTCTGATGTTCACAAAATTTAATTCATGTCTCTTGACAAGTGATATGTTGTATTTTACGACAAGGTCAGGAGGGTGCCACATTCCTAGGACGCGAAGGGCTCTGCAGTAAAACATTGGTTTCGTTGACACAAGGAAAAGCACAGTAGTTGAATTCATTTCACTGCACTAATTGTATCAGGGTTCAGAGTGAACATGTGACGTTTATTGTTCTTCAGCATTTGGATCAATGACTGACCGAAGAAAATTCGTTAGTGCATAGGCAGGAAGAGCGCATCCTCATACGTACAATTGATTTTTACTTTGTCGCCCTTACAAAAGTACTTCGTAAGAGGAGAAAGTTATATAATCGTGCTCAGGAAAAAGGAAAATTTTCGCCTAAAAACTTGTATTGTCGGGCTCTCGTAACGAAAAAGTGTATAAACCCTGCTGCTAAATATAGGAAAAGGAATTCTCTAACACTTGGTGTAGCCAGAAGTCATGCTTTGTGGGCCCTTGATACAGAAAAATTGTTTGACGGCAAAACGTGTCTGTCCGTCTGTGGTCAATGATAGCGCTTAAAGCGTTCAGCCGATTTTCTTCAAAGTTGATATTCCCCAATAGAAATTGCCCCAACCGCTATTGCCAACAAAGACGGCTCATGTAATAATTTCATTGTAAATACCAATGAAAATTCACAATAACAATATTCCCCAATCGATAGACTGAACTTGAGGCTTTGCGAGTTTCAAACAGATATTTTGACTTTTGAGGGTACTTTACAAGAAGTCTCAAAAATATTTTCAAAGTTTTCTCAAAAACGACACCAGTTTTTTTTATCACACTTTGTCTTCGTATCAAATGTAGCTTAAGAGAAAGGCGCAGGTCTCATGTTCACTGAAATCCTAGATTTTTTGAATATTGCAAAAGTGCAAATTTTTGGGGCGCCTTCCAACAACTATAATTTGAAGATGGAGATGTTTTCATTAATGAAATCTGTTCCTTTAAGTCGGATCTTTACATAAATTCATGTTCAATTTTCGATAATACGCCGAGTTTTTGTGTGATTTGGCGCGAAATATAGACAATTTAAAAAAATTTAAAA